TATGAATTAGAGCGAAACTCACATCCAGGCACAACTGCAGCATAGATTATCATGAACCCAATGAGCATAGTGGAGTTCCTTTCAGGATTTCTGAAGATGGTCCATTATCTTTGGAAAAAGTCCAAGAACCAGTCTATACAGGCTGACATTTTTCTTTTTAAACACTAGGTTTAATCTTGAAATGTAATGTATAGAATAAATATTTTAAAAATTTGAGCCATATTTTCCCATCCTAACTAAGGAAACTTGTTCTCATAGAAAAAAATGGGGTGATCTTTTTCAATGAAAATCAAAGTTATTAAAATACTAGCTTTTTTCCACCAGTAAAGTATTCTCCATTTCTTAATGTACAGATTGTAATAATTTTCTTTTTTTAATTTAAATAATCTTTTAGTTAATAAAGAATAAATTTCAAAAAGTTTTTTTTTTTGTTAAACATAAATGAACTAAAGGGGAAATTCAAGGTCTAAGGAAGAAAATAGTCACCATTATAGAGATTATAATAATTTTCTATAAAGGAAGTTAGTTGGGTTGATCCAAGATCTTGAAGGCGCAATGAAAAATAGATATTTCAGTATTACTGAGATTTCTCCCTCTAGGTATGGAACTTGAATGTTTAAGCAGACATGTTATCCATGGTGTTGTGTCTTGCCTTTATTGATACTGTTTGGTGAGCAGAGGCATAAAAAGTTGTTTTTTTCTTTGAGATTTATTGGACTCTGGTCTTATGTGGTCAAAGTAGGACTTTAGATGGATCAATGTAAACTTTAAAAAAATAAACATGCTCAAAGCAAGGCCAGCCTTAAAATAGAGCTCTGTTTGTAGGATGTGTTTGAACTGTTTTGTGCTGTGCTCAGCGGGGCAGTCGTGTCCGACTCCCAGCAACCCCGTGGACCACAGCCCACCAGGCTCTTCTGTCCATGGGATTCTCCAGGCAAGAGGACTGAAGTGGGTTGCCATTTCTTCCTCCAAGGGATCTTCCCTACCCAGGGGTTGAACCTGCATCTCCAGAATTGGCTGGAGGATTCTTTACCCCTGAGCCACCTGGGAAGCCCTTTAAAATATTTGACCCTGCCTCTAATTTTTAACCAGTCAGATTTGAATTTTGAAATGTGTCTGTAAAAGTCAAGTAGACTGCACTTACCCAGGACCTGGGAAGTATTAGCCATGGTGTGCTGGTTCACCCAGCAAGAGTGTGCGGCGGCATTAAATCTGACGTAAACCCGTGAGGTTCTGAAAGCCAGAGGGTAAGACCAAAAAAGTTCCATAAACTTAAGTTACCCTAGTAGATCCTTTAAGCTACTATAAAGTACATATGTGTAGTTTTGTGTGTATAACTGAACAATTACTCATAGGCACAGTAAGAACCACTGGACTAGAATAAAGAAAGGAACAAAAAGGGTGCTGTGTGGACACCCATCCCATTCTTTTTCCATGGTAACTCCCCAATCCATGAAGAAGTCTAGAACTCTGACAGTGCCTGCTTGCTTGCAGGATTTACTCCATTCTCCACACTACAGATCAAGTGTCTGTAACCTTCAGACATGCTAATACATTCTCTTGGTTTTGTAAGGATTGAACTAGACAATCTACATGAAAGCACCTAGCTCAGGACCAAGTGATGTGATAGATTTAAATGCAGGTGGTGTTTGTCAGGTCCACATAGGTACTTTGTTCTTTGAAGAGTTGTAGAGAAGAATTTGGCCACCTGCTCCCTGTCTGTCTAGGTTGAGATTTCCCAACAGTGACTTACATGTTCTTGCAAATTGGCTACATCCGTGGGCCAGTTGGAGTTAAGAGTGAAGGTTTCAGGTGTAAGGTTACCCCTACATCTGGCACCTTTGACACACCTTGGTTGAATATCTTATATACTCTTGGGTTCTGTAGGGCTTCTGTTGGTCTTCTAGAGTTCGTATTTGTGTGTGACAATCACCTGATGAAATTGTGTAACCCACCTCAGCTGGACTCCCCATGGTGGAATCATGAATATGTGTTTTAAAATTTTTTGTTATACATTTTATAGGGTGTGTGAGAATATGTACTTTTAGACAGCTGCCCAGATGATTCTTATGTAACCAGCAGGTTACCTTTGGAACCCAGCAATTAGGAAAAATTGGGGGTGGGGTATTTTGCCACAAGAGACCATGAACACTTCTGACCCTATTTCATGTTAAATTATTTGGGAAATGACTACGGTATTCATCATCTAGATTTAAAAGGACATAACTTCAGTTCTTAGGTGAAAAAGCCATTTATTAGGTGAATCAGTCATGAGATTGGTTTTTTAGAAGATAGAAAATTAGTATACTTATGTTTGCATGATTTAAAAATTCAATACCAACCAAGTCATTTATTCACTTGGGATGCTAAGGCCTTTGCTTTCCACTCCCAGGCATCACTGAAATGATCACCTGGGGTTTTGTTCAGTTGTTTTATTTTCAATAACTTGGGTTTTGAATTGTATTCTCTTTTCATTTTGGAAGGGGACTTGGTATGTCTTGTAATTTAAAGTTCAGAATTTTACTCCAAATTCAGTTGAAAAGAAAATAAACTTTTTCATCTCTGATTCACTAGAGGAGCCCTTTCATCATTAGGTGTTCTGTACCCCCAGCAAATATTTCTGTCTTCACTTGTCCTTACTCTCTGGTTCGTGAAGTATTTTCTTTGCTTATACATGCTTGGTCCCACCTATTCTCATTTTTCCAGGATTGTGTCCCATCGTTATGCTCCGTTTCCTTACTCCTAGTGTCTCTCTCGCTCCCTATGTCTTTTCCTTGGCTTATAAACACAATCTGTCCCCCTGCACTAAAAGGACCAACCTTTCTCTCTACCTTGCTGCTCTTCAGCCTGCCATATCATTTTATTTCTTTGCTTCCCTATTCTGGCCAGTATTCTTAAAAGATTAACTGCACTGTTGCGTCTGCATCTTGACACCTTGGCCTTTTGCTTCTGGTTTCTACTCTTATCACTTTATTGGAACTTCACCTTAAGGAGTCACCACTCACTTCTCCCTCTGCACATCTATCAGTCTTTTCTGAGCTCCCATCCTTTTTGACCTTTTCACAGTAAGTGAGGATGTTGATCACACTCCTTTGTGGCATCTCTCCTGTTAACATATATACGACACTTCAGGCTCAGATGTCCAACCTCTCTGACTGCTTTGTCTCATTTCTTTGCTGGATCATCTTGTGTTTTTGCTACATGAATGTATTTGTTAATATGTTCCTCTGCCTTTTTTGTCCCTTTCACTTTTTGTGGCTCCCTTCTTGCTGTGTATTTTAGCTCCAGAAGCTAGGACAGAGGTTTGGAGTACACCCAGGGGGATTTGGGGACTGAACTAAACCCAGAGGGAACATATCCGAGATGGCTAGAGGGAAAAAGAATGAGATGGTGACCCAATGTTGTAGTTAGGAAAATGGTACCCAAATACCAAGTCTGGAAGATAAGGATGAAAGATGGGAGAGTAGGCAGTAAGATTGACAGTTTGGATAATTGGGAATAGGATAGGCAAATAAGCCAAGAATGTGAATCTGTGTCTTTTCCAGATCATTTTGTACCTGACAGTCACACACATGTTACCTGAGGGTATGATCTCTTTAAGGAGTTACACTGGGACTTTGGCTTCAGCAATCATTTCTCTGGTGATGAACTTCAAATCTGTATCTGAAGCCTGCATTAGGTTCTCCTATGAACCAGAGCTCTATTTCCATCTTCCTCTTCGCTGGTTTCACCTGGATATCCAATTGGTACTCCAAACTCGACATATTCCAAATAAAGTAATCTTCTTTCTCCTGAATTGAACTCCTTTGGGGCCTTCCCTGGGGGCTCAGATGGTAAAGAATCTGCCTCCAGTGCAGGAGACCTGGGTTCTGTCCCTGGGTTGGGAAGGTCCTCTGGAGAAGGGAATGGCAACCCACTCCAGTATTCTTGCCTGTAGAACTCCATGGACAGAGGAGCCTGGGGCAGGGTACAGTCCATGGGGTTGCAAAAGTGTCAGAAACGAAGAGGCTTGCACTCACTCACTCAATATAGTACCGTTCTGTGTCATTCTGGGCCAAAAATTCAAAGGCATCATTGATTCTTTTTTTCACCCACATCCAGCCGTTTGGAAAGGGTTGTCAGTATTATCTCCCATGATGTCTTATAACACCTTTACTCTTCCTTTCTTCAACCCCTGATTGCTGCTTTATATTCCAGAGATAGCCCCTATTTCGTGTACCCTACTCCGATTTTCTGTTCATTGCTTCTGGTGTAATGTTTCCAAAACTCAACTATAGATTTAAAAGACATGTTAAAGTTATCGTGACATTCCTCACCAGAGAAAATCATTTTCCTTCCAGTAGCAGTTATGGTTTCTAGCACTGTGTGTATATGTGTGATTGCTATACATATACACTATACTATATATTTCTGTACATGCATATATATTGCATATTTATATATATAATTATTTTATTACATGTCTCTTGTGTGCTTGCGCAGTCATGTCTGACTCTTGGTGGCCCTTGAACTGTAGCCTGTCAGGCTTCTCTGTCTATGGAATTTTCCAGGCAAGAATACTGGAGTGGGTTATCATCTCCTACTCCCAGGGGATCATCCTGACACAAGCACTGAAACTGCGTCTCTCACGCCTCCTGCCTTGCAGGTGGATTCTCTACCACTGTACCACTTGAGAAGAGATTATACAATATACATATATTTCTATATATGACTATGTATTTTAATATATATGTATTTCTATATATGACATATGTATGTCTGTACATGAAGTATCAGCCCCTATAGATTGTAAGCTCCTTGGAGGGCAGGAACTGTGTCTTTACCTTGTATCCCCACATATTCCCTGTATTGACATGCAACAAATATTTATTGAATGGAAATCAGTAGCTTGCTGGGCTGGAAGGAATCCGATCCCAGTTAATAAGTAATAGGTAATCTGTGATAGTCATTTTAATTTGACATTAATTTCATTTTTTGTGCATTTGTTTCATTCTGAAAAGCTTTTTTATTAAGCTGTGCTGATGGCATAAGTGGAACAGTTAAATGGAAGACCAAACAGGCCAACAGTTTTATTATCAGCAGAAAAATGAGTGCTGGGAAGAAAGATGGTGAGTTTAGGTTGTAACCTGAATCCCTCTTGGGGAGCTGGTAAATGTCTGCTTCCAATAGTCTTTTTGCTTTTTTAGTCATGTGTGGATTTTTTTTTTTTTTAATAAGTCAATCTGAAAAAAATTTTATTTTCCTAATCCTCTAAAATTTCTGATCCTCTGTGTTCTTAATCCATTATTCTCCAGGTTTTTTTTTCCTTTGCTGTAGTTTTGCCCTTTTTTAAACTAAAAATAATACTTTGTTTTTAACCTATCCAGTCACTAGCTTGCCACTTATACAATTTATTGCAATGCAGTTATTATAACAATTTACTTGTAACATTGAAAAACATTAAGAAGTATGTTTAATATAAATCACTTAAAAACAATATTTGCATAACCTTAGAAAAATGGTCTGATGCTGAAGCTGAAACTCCAATACTTTGGCCACCTCATGCGAAGAGTTGACTCATTGGAAAAGACCCTGATGCTGGGAGGGATTGGGGGCAGAGCTATTTTAAAGAGCCTAAACTTACTTCATTGGAAGAACTGATGCTGAAGCTGAAACTCCAATACTTTGGCCACCTCACTCGAAGAGTTGACTCATTGGAAAAGACCCTGATGCTGGGAGGGATTGGGGGCAGGAGGAGAAGGGGACGACGGAGGATGAGATGGCTGGATGGCATCACCGACTGATGGGCATGAGTTTGAGTAAACTCTGGGAGTTGGTGATGGACAGGGAGGCCTGGCGTGCTGCGATTCATGGGGTCGCAAAGAGTCGGACACACTAAGTGACTGAACTGAACTGAACTGAGAAAAATGGTCATAAAGTCATAAAGTATTTTGGCTAATTATCAATGATTTTTTGAATGATTTTTGTTGCAAAACCAAATTAGGATGTTTTGTTATTAAATAATTAGATGGCATTTGTTTTCTATTGAAAAGATGTCCTGACCCTTGAATGATTGATTGTCCTTCTAAATTTTTCTTCCCTATCTTTAATGTGTCCATTAGCAATATGTCAGGACCTTTGAAATAATGCATTTCATCAGGGAGAAAAAGACTTACTTAACAACGGAAAGATTAGTTGTTTTAAAAATATCAGTTATCATCATGAGCTTTCACTTAATATTTCTGGATTATTTGTCTTTACAATCCCTCTTAACCATACTCCTCCCAGCCCCCGACCCCCACCCCAAAGTTCTACTCTATGTGGTCAGGAACATTAGCAGAACAATAGGTTAGTTTCTATAACCTTGGGGTAATCAAACTATCTATTAAAAAACAGCAATTTAAAAATACTTTGAAAAGAACAGGAATTTTTTGTGATAAAATGGACTTGCTGCCATATAAGACTTTCTTGGAATTTCTAGGAGTGATTCCTGGCTTACTTCATTTTCTTCTTACATTCCTGAGTCGGGGGTACCAACTTTTTCCTAGATTGCATCAAATTATTCCTCAGCTGAAATCTTCTACTCCCAGATCGGTAGGACCAAGGCTCCCAGGATCTCTTCTGTGCTTTTGTGTTTGAAACAAACCCATGAACACCTTTGCATGTTTAAGGAATTTTCATCTCTAATATCTAAAAGAAAACAGTTTTTTGACAGCTACTTCTCATGGAGAGTTCACAAAAATTTGTTTTAAAAAGCAGTAGATGCAGTTGTTCTAGGATCTAAGCGATTTGTCCCACAGCCATTTCCCTACACCCTCCTTAGATATTCTCAAGGGATTTTCTCTGTTTCCTTCAAGGGATTCATTTCTGAATATTTGATCTGCGTGCATGCGGGCTAAGTCGCTTCAGTCATGTCCAACTCTTGGCGACCCTATGGACTGCAGCCTACCAGGCTCCTCTGTCCTTGGGATTCTCCAGGCAAGAATACTAGAGTGGGTTGCCATGCCATCTTCCAGGGGATGCTCCTGACCCACGGATCGAACCCACATCTCTTAAGTCTCCTGCATTAGCAGGAAGGTTCTTGACCACTAGCACCACCTTACCTGGTTGCTCCTTAATCAAGCTGAGGGCCTTCAGCTTCTTCTGCACACCCACTCTTCCTGTTTTCTAGTCTTTCTAGTTATGGCCCCAGATTTGGCATTGTATTTCTATTTTGTCATCTCCCAAGGATTTGGGATCTGCCCTGATTCCTGCTGCTTCACATGAGATCACCAAAACCCTTCCTCTGGACTTCACACTATTTTGCACTTACCTGCAGGCATTCTTTCCCTTTTCTTTGGTTTCTTGTTTTTAACTTTGATCCCTAGACTTTCTGTCCTCTTTCAGCATGTCACTCCATTCCTATTTGATTTTCTGTAGATACTCTCTCACTGGCTGTTAAGCTCAGTTGAATCACCCATTATCGTGGTATTCTTAGTGAAATATACTATTCCAAGGCTTTTACTGTCACATTTTTTAGAATCGTCAAGAGACCCTTATCTCTTCCTACTTGGAACTTCATGCTCCCACTGGACCTCACACTGATTTTCTCCTTGGAACCTGAGCCATAACTACAGTTCTCAAAATTGAAATGATCAATACATCTTGAATCTACTGAGGTAACCAGTTCAATTTACCACGTTCTCTGATTTCCCCGGTTTCTCTTGAACTCACTCTTTAGCTTTTTCTCCCTTTCTGGTCTCCTCCTCTAATTTAAATCCTATTATTATAGTTCTGCATTATTAAAATATCTATATGCAGAGAGCAGTATGTTTACTGTAGTGGGTTATAGTAATGGACAGCCACCAAGTGTATCACCTTATGTTATCAAAATCAACGAAATGCGTAACTACCCCTAGCTCAAGTTCTGGCTCTTCCGCTTGCTATTCTGTAGGCTTGAACCTGTCCCTAAGTCTCTCTGGGTTCAATGTTGTTAACTCTAAAATTGGAGGACTGAACTTGTTTTTATGGATGCTAACTCTGATTGGTATTAACAAACAGGAATCCTGGGTTGAGTAGAATGCTGAGGCCATATCTAAATAAGAAGTAATGCAATGATCTGTCCGTTAGTAGAAAAAGGTGTTTGGCACATCCCAACGGGATGACATATAAAGCCCTTCTCAATTGCAGTGTTCTATGAGACCAAGTTTATTGATTACCAATTAAAAATGGTTTGCAACCACTTTCCAACTGACATTTATGAAAAAAAATAATAACAACAGAACAAACACATGTGATCATTCAATGGGAAAATCAAGATATTTAACTCCATGTAGACAAATGGTTTTAGTAAGTGGCTTTGGTTGGGGAGGAAAAATCTCAGGAAAAAACCAACCTTTCTGCTTTTTGTAGAAAAAAGATACAGCTAGTGGTTTCTTTTCTACCTCATGTAAAGAAAAATGGTCCTCTCTCTTAGAGGAATGACGTTTGAAAAGGCAATTTAATGCCTTCCGGGTGATGAATTCTACAGCCCAAGTGTGGACTATCTGGGACTGAAATAAAAACAATAGCTGACCAGTGCTGAATGAAATGGTCTTCAGGACTTTGATGTTGAGTAAACTCAAGGGGTGAAAGGCAGACTGTCGAGAAAAGCTTTTGATTCTAAACCAAGATTTATAAAGCTGGACTGATAAAACACAGTAACTTTTAAAGAGAAAAAAAAAAAAGCAAAACAGGTTGTATACCAGCTGGATATTGATGCCTTTCACAATATTTTTCTATAGACATTATCTGGCTTAATAATTAAATTTCAATTAGACAATAGAGATAACACATTGAAAAATAAATTAGGGAGCAAACCATAGATCTATCAGGCTCTGAAAACCCTAAAATGAGTTCTCTTGATGCAGAGATAGCAAAATGGAATTCATCTCTTACAATCAATTCTGATTAATCAGTAGAAGCTTCTTTTTTTTTTTTTTTCAGTAGAAGCTTCTTGGAGTGCTGTGTATACAGGGCTCTGAGCCTCATAAAGAGCTTTTATATATTAAAACTATAAAAGAGAAGGCAAGGGTTATTTTTTCTGTCAGTACTTACAGTTCTCAATTATCAGCAAAGATCATACAGTAAAATAGGTTTTTAGCAATTGTATTTTTTGTGTAACTTTCTTTTTTAGTAATAATCCAATTCTTCACTTTAGCAGAGAAGTATCTCTTCTATAAATAGGATTTTGAGGAATTGGAAAATTTAGTTGCTCCGGCAAAAGTTTATTTGAGAATCTGTACCAGGTAAGTGGCTATTTGATATTATATTTGTATCTTAAACATATTTTTATCCAAATTTTTTTTTCAATAATACTTACTATTAAAGCAGTACTGTGAACATTTGAAAAACATGCAGTATTATTTAACTAATTTACACTCGGTTAAGGCACCCTTGTCATGCTTCCCAATGAGTGGCTTACAGGAGAGGCAAATTAACAAAATTAAAATGCTCTTGTAAATAGGCTTCAATTTCTTATTAATAAATTACTTATTTTAGTGTGTTATAGTCTTAGACTGATTTAGCTATTGCTAAGGGTAATAGATCACGTAATCAATAGTTCTCTTTGTTTAAATTGTGCAGTGTATTTCCCACCCAACAAATATGTAAGAAATTATTTTATAGAGCACATTAAATCCATTCATTTTGATTTGACAGTTTGTTTATGTAACATATGGATTAAATAAAGGCTTTCTATGGTACACTTTTTTTTCTGAATACATTTAATATGTAGAGTTTATGCTGCCATCTCCTCAAATCATGGCTGGCTCCCAATTATAGTAAGATCATCTTTTCAGAATATACTGTGTCAACGAAGAATCGGGAAATATGCCACAAAAGGGTCTCTGGGTTGCCAAAAGAGACGTGGCAGATGCAGGCTTCTTTTTTTCAGCTCTAGCAGAGCCTTGTGAGTGATCCGACAGTACAAATTTGTTCTTACTTTAACACGCAATCCCACCTCATTTGGTAGTCTGGTTTCTAAACCTGCAGCGGATTAATAGCCGCAAATTAGAAGGCAGAGAAGCAGTTAGAGGGAACATTACTGATAGCAATGAGAAATGACAGCTGACAACTTGTCTACAGATGAGAAAACAGAAAATCTATAAAACGCACAACCTCAAAACGCATTAGCAGACGGCTACCTGCTAGCGCTAGCATGATCGGTAAATGGCAAGACAACCAAACAGTCCATAAGGGCGTCATTGTATAATAGAGCGGAGTGCAATAATTGATGTGCTAAATGATGATCTTATACCCATAATGAAAAAGGATCGACCACCAAGTACTTTAGAAAACTCAGCTCTCTAAATTGTTTCCTTCCTTGGGGTTCCTGGTAAACTGAGATTTTACCGTATTTTCTTAAACCACAAAAAAATTAGAAGATGATAATGTAAGTAGACCTTTGAAAGTGATTAATTTGTTGATAAGCATTCAATGAGAGAGCGATCAACATAATAGCTGCCTAATAAAGGTCACCTCAATGTGAATACTGACAATCCTTTATGACTTCTTAAAGATTTCAGAGGAAAGGAGGCTTTAAGATTTCAATCTAGCTGAGACTTGGTCCCACACTCAGCAGCCAGTTTATCTTTATAGTCATCTCCTCATTCTTGATGCAAAGGGCTTGTAAGTGTTCTCAGGACTTTTTTGTGGAGAGTGGACTTTATATATGTCTGTGCACATGTCTATGCCATTGAAAAATCATTTTGGTAGTTGTGAAGTGTCATGCTCTAGATTTGTTGGCAGTGTATCACCACAATCCTTTCAGATTTGATGTTTGGTTAACACATGCAGATTTGCATTTGTTTTTAAGTAATTGTAAATAAGCATACAAATATGCACCCTCCTATTTTCATCTCAGTGTTGCTCCCATGGGGAGAAAATTTCAAATGGACTATTAAAGAAAGACAGGATGCTATTTAGCTAGCATGCGGTCCCACTTTATTGCTACTGCCATCACTATCTGTTATTTGGTTCTTGGCTCTCTGTGTTCACATAATATACATTGTTGAAAATGGTCTGTAGTTTCTATGCCTTATGACAAAAGCATACAGAGAATACAGTTTTATGGAAAGACTTTGCTAGCATGTTAACGAGGGATTTGGGGCTGCATCCGGATGGTGAAATATTACCCCAACCACTTGCACCCACATATTCTTTTGCTCTTCTTAACTCAGATATGTAATTTTTCTTTTAAAAAATTCTGTTACTTATGACTACTTGTTTTCAATTTTTAATCTTTGTATATCTAGCTACCCTTGTGGTTTGAAGATGATGTTTTTGGCCCCCTGTGAGTGGGACTTTTGGTTTAATTGTTTTGACCATTAGTGGTGATGGATTTGCATGGCTTTAGTAACAGACTGGTTTCCTGTTTCATTTGTATCCAGTGGCACGTGCTTGTAGAGGTGATAGATTTGCAGCCTTAGACGATTGCAGAGCCATGCACTACACAGAGTGGCCAGACCCTGTGACCTCAGCTTGACTAGCATGGCACAGTATGCTTGTGTATTTCGGAGACCGTTCAGCGTATTTCAGAGACATGTCTTTCAGAGACTCTTCGAGTGTTTAAATTTGATTTTCAAAACTTGCTTTGAGAGAAAACGATATACTCCAAACTTACTGTTTGTGAGGACTACCTAGACATCTGGGAGTGCAACACGTGTTCACGGTCATGGAGCAGCCTTTGTTGGCGTTCGTGCAGACGTGCTCAGTATTGCTTGTATAGCTCATGTTTAGAATAGGAGCTCATCACTTTGAATTCTCTGTGTCATTTGTTGTTTTTGAAAGGAAGCTAGGTGTAAATACTGCCCCAATAGCCTCTATTGAAGAGCTGTTTGTTTTGCAAGTAACAAATGGGAAAGGTAAGGTAAAGGGCACTTCTCTAAAATGTTGTGTGGGTGCCCATAATTTAAACTGATGCTACAGAAAGAAAGTATTATTTTCACAAACAAAACATAGTGGCTTAGTCATTTTCCATTTCTAGATGATGAATGTGTCGTACATCTGTATCATGTTTTTCTCAAAGTGAATGGCATACTAAAAGCGAAGCAGAGTCGCCAAGGAAACTGACCAGCAAGTATGCAGTTCAGCAGATTGCAGAAAGGCAATTGAGTACACATGAATAAAGAAATGTGCATGTCATCTTAAAACCCAGGAGAGCTATGGTAGATTGTGGTTTGGCTCTGTAGATCACAGAAAAATTATTTTTGTTTGTGGAAGCAGAAAGTGAGATGTTCTATACTAGTCCTTGAAGTGAGATGATAAGCAGTGACAGGCCCCTTTTATGGTTCCGGTTCAGGCCTGGCCACAGGCCATATAGAAAAAAGGATCATTTCAATGAACAACCTTTCTTTTTGATTCAGAAGCTAGCATTTGCCACCTTATGGCGGCAAAAACTAAGGGAGACTGTTAGTAGTTTATAATGTAAATGAAGAATGGTAACCCATAAACTGCTACACACATATGGGAATAAATATAAGTTATAAAACTGAAATTGAAGTTAAGCATTATACATATTTAGTACACAAACATAAGAACTGTTTCCCTCTACCATGCTAGGTACTAGATTGTATTAATCCATTCAGTAGGCATTTATAAAATTATTCACATGCTAGATACTTCCTAGGTGCCCAGAAAAACAACAAAGGAAAATAAAGTTCAATGCTGGACTTCAACATGTTATTAATCTCTAGAAAGAATGAATTGGATAAACTCTGAAGAGATTCCTTTAAATTATGTAAAGCACTCCTGTGCTTTGGATGTAAGATTGTGATCTAGAATTTAAACACCCTTCTGTATAGCGTGAAGTAACTTCTCAGCAGGAGTTTACAGTTCTCTGTAATTTGGTTCTTCTTCCCAGTTTTTGTCTCCCTACCAGGATCTAGCATCAGTGGCTTAATTCCCTTTCTTAGAAGGGCCCCACAGTCTCCCACGATTGTATCTTGCATGTTTCACCACTGAAATTGTCCATCTCTGAGTTTCAGAATCTTGCTGGTATTTAAAAAGCCATATTGAGTTCCACTTTCTCCGCACACCTTGACCAGATCTTTCCAGCTTCCATTGCCCCTCACTGTCTTTCCGGGTCTTGCCAGAGCAGTCTGTCTTTCTGTGAGTCATACCTAGTTAGGTGGGTGTTGTCCCAAACCAGAAGGGGAACTCACAGAAGACAGGGATTGGGTCTCCTTCGTCTTCACAGTCTCCATAGCACCTAGCGCTCGGGGGACACCGGAATCTGGTTGGTGAAAAATCCCCAGGTCTCTCATCCCCGCTATATTTTTACGATTCATTTGTTCATTCTTTATTTTGGGGGGGAAATGAGACCATATTCACAGGTGAGTTAATTGCTCTTGGGTAAAGACTGGGTACTGAAGGGGATGCTTCCTGGTGCGGGTACAAACCAAGTCTGGAACAAGTCTCCCTCCATACCCAGTTTACACTTCCTTGCGGCTTCTCTCCCTCTGTTACTTTAGCTTTTGAAGCTGTGTTTTCCGTAGTAAAGCTATGGATACTTGGAGCCACCAGCCAAATGTTTTAGTTCAGTTCTCCATTTTTGGCAGCCATCCATGGAATTGCAGGGGCAAGTTTTCACCGATAAAGCAACGTTTTTTGTGAGTTCCTATTTTTATGCTGAAAGATTCCTGTCCGTGATTTTACTATTCAGAGCTTTTAGTTAGTTGTGAGCCTGGAGTGAGCAGCCTTGGGTTCTTAAGGTTAATTACTACATTTACAAACCCATCAGTGACTGAGAGAAGGAACTTGCCTGATAGGGTTTATCTGTTTAAAAATTGCAGCTACTAGCCAAACAAGAAGATAGAAAACCCAAAAGAGACTGGAGAGGTGACAAGGGTAATGGCAGTAATGTGTTGGTGGAGATGATGATATCAGAGGGAAAAAAATGATAAGTTGAAACTAACAAACCAATTTGGTCATTTTAATGTACTCACATCATGTGTCTTCAGGAACCACTAAATAAAGTCTGCCCCATTTCACTTAAAGAAGTGATTTGCCCTGAATTTTATTATGTAATTGTTATTGCTTATTTAGGAGATAGCATAATAGACTAGCTTATATGTATGAATTATTAAATGTCAAGATCAGGTAAAGTGGAATAAATCATTTCTAGGAGAGATATGAGAACTAATACTCAAAGAGTACCCAATGCCTTTTTATAAGTATTTCTGAAAGTCACCTTACATTTATCAATGGTATTTATGCTTTGTCTGGCAAACAGTTAATACAGTGGAGATTCTTACCATTTAAAAGTTGCTCTTTATACTTTTCTTTGAAAAAAGGTAAAATGAAAAAGATACTGTAGCAATTATATAGTTGATCACTTCTCATGATGTATTTCATTGGTAATCATCTCCATAAAAATTACCAAAGAGATGTTATGGTTGTCTTTAGTATTTAATAACAATTTAAAAAATTAATTGTGCCTAATTCTGCTTACATAGTACTTGAAAAGTCTGTAAACACACCCAGTTGAGAGTTGTTCCCTGTTTTGTCCTAAAATGAACTTAACAATATCTTGCATGTTGCTTCAGTTTTCTCAGAAATGTCTATAGTGAAACCTGGTTTGACAGTGTAAGTGAATCTGCAAAAACAGACCTCATTATTTGTCTTTCCATCTCTTCTCTTCCCTTTTTGTTTGCAGTGTACACTATTTTCTCCAGGGTACACTCCGATCGGAATGTCTACCCCTCCGCAGGCGTCCTCTTTGTTCATGTTTTGGAAAGAGAGTATTTTAAGGGGGAGTTTCCACCTTACCCCAAACCTGGTATGTTCTTGGTGGAGGGAAAAAAAGAGGTTAATTTATTAAATTTTTCCTTTTATTCAGTGTGCATAATCCAGGTAACATTTAATCAGATATTTCTGACATTATTTGACATGGTCAGAATATATGCTAAATTGATTGTTATAGGATATTTCCCATTTTAAGATTCGAAATTTAATTACAGAAGAAAACAATTCATTTTTGAATTTTGAAGAAAGCGTATTTCTGATTATTTAGTCTTGAGTTTTGTACCTCTGACAAATCATCTACCCGTATTCTCATAGCAATAATTATAGCTGTAAAATTATGATTTTCCACATTAGAGTCTTACCCAGGACATTGACTTTTGGAAAATTATACATATATCATAGAATAGAATGAAATATGGTATTAAGAAAGTTCTCAGAAAAACTTTTACAATATGAAATAATTTTGTATAACTTCATGATAATATAATGGAGATTAATTTTTCTTCAAAGTTATACCAGTTACAAAGTCTTATTTAATCATCTGTTGGTTTAAATTATGTTTTGTTTGATTGTCATAAATGCCATCCAGTTAATGAAGATGTAGAAAGAATAGCAAGAGAAAATATATTGTTATTATGACTCTTAAGTAACAAAAATGAATTTTCTGAAAATTATGGCATAAATATTATTTTTGTAGATTATATGATGAATAGCATACCTGAAAATGCTCATAAAATATAGTTAAGCATGTTTTCACCAGTATTCAAGAGAAAAAGGCAATCTTTTCATCAGTTATTTGTAAAATGTTTTCTCATGAGGCACTGTACTTTTGCAGAACTGTATAGCTAAACCTTTTAAGGAGAGAAGAAAACATATAGTTTCATACAGTTAAGAGCATAGTTTCTGGGGTCAACCAAGATTAAATTCTCCTTTCCCCATTTAATTTGACTATGAGGAGTTAACTGGAAAATTACATATTTCATCAATAAAATTATGGCTGTAATAGTACTACTTTTATTGGTATGTTTGGAATCAGATGAAATAATAGTGCCTGTAGAGACTAGACGCAGCAATGCCATGCTAATAAATGATGCTGTTATTACTGTTTATTATTAATAAATGTCATGTTATTGACATTCTTTTAGATTTGGATTTTTCAACTCATCCTCCAGTGTTTTGGAATTACGTTATTTTTGTTTTGATGATACCTTTATGATTTTGAGATATCCCTTAAGATTAGGTTGATAGTGTTCAGAGTTTAATGAAAGAAAGATTCAAAAGAATGAACATATCAACATGATTAGGGGATTTTCCTGAAAGTTAGTTGTCTCATTGATAGACCTTCTCCACTGCTATGTGACCCCCACGCCTCCCAAAAAAAATTAAAGAAAGGAAAAGACAATTTGAAAAAAATTGCATGAATACACTTTCTTTGTTGCCTCAGATTTCTAGACAAACTAAACCACCAAAAAGATTTTTTTCTTTACATGAGGTCCTAATGTAAATTCTCAGATGGATTTCTTTTGGTTTTATTTTATTTGCTACAAATGTGAAGAAAAGTCTTTTTAGACAGACATATTTTTGTTGAAACTATCAAAGCAACACATGAAAATAACTGTTCTATATCTTACTTCTGTGTTTCTTTCCTAGGTGAGATTAGTAATGATCCCATAACATTTAACACAAATTTAATGGGTTACCCAGACCGTCCTGGATGGCTTCGATATATCCAAAGGACACCATATAGTGATGGAGTGCTTTATGGGTCTCCAACAGCCGAAAATGTGGGGAAACCAACAGTCATTGAGGTAATTTACTTAGAAAGAGAAAAATTATATTCTTGTTTATTTGTAATTTGAGTTTCAAATGTAATTAAAATTATGTAGCAGTGGTTTTCAGTATTTTATGCATGGAAACACATGAGATAACATTTGGAAATATGCCATTTCTTTCTGTTCATCTACAGAGTTTTCTGTTTCAGCTTTTAATATTAAAAAGGGCAGTCTAAATTAGTGAAAAAAATTAAAAGACATTTAAAATAATTAGACTCCTATGAATTCTATTTAAGAAGATGAATGCACTTATTTCCTCCAAATTTTAATTTCAGATTCATGTTCATTCAAATACAAGCATTTAAACAGATGTCTTTTTAGCCCCTACCATGTACTGAGCATTGTGATAGGCGTCAATGGTAGAAAAATGAATAGTAGCCATCCCCTGCCATGTCTTACAGTTCTGAGGTTGAAGCACAGGAATGGAAACTCAGACTCAGCCAACACTGACGTAACTGTTACAGTAAGAAGGTGCTGTCTGATGCAGAGTTTTAAGAGGGTAAATAGAAATTCACTAAGCAGAGGAAGGCTATTTTAGGAGGAAGATACAGCACATCAAAATCTTGGAGACATAAACAACCACGTGGTCTTAGAGAACTTTAGGGGCCTTGAGAGGACAGCATGCACTCCAGAGGGTGACTGATGGGAACAGAGGTGTAGACCCTGATACAGGCAGATCTTGGGGGCCTCTGTAAGCCATGCAGATATGTTTGACCTTGACTTTGGGAGTTATGGTGGTGCTATAATTAATCAGATTTTTATCAGTACCTGACATCATACCTGGAAGATAGTAGAAATTAAGACAATAAGGACTTGCCTGGCAGTCCAGTCGTTAAATCCAGTAGTTAGGACTCCACATTTTCACTGCAGGGGACATGGGTTCAATCCCTGGACAGGGAACTAAGATTCCACATGCCACATGGCATGGCCAAAAAAAAAAAAAAGAAATTAAGACAATGAAAACAATGATGACACCAAACCTTTAATGGGAATTAATTTTCTTTTAATGAATGGATATAAAAGCTAAAAGTGTTTCACTCTCTACTGTACCTAACAAAATCAGAATTACACTGGCAATTAATGGCAAGAGAGGTCTACTACAGTTTTAGGCCTCAATGCCTCTAAGATTGTAAATTGGAATTTTTTTTAAAAATTACTATTTTTAATTGAAGGATAATTGCTTTACAGTATGGTGTTGGTTTCTTCCAGACATCAGCGTGAATCAGCCATAGGTATACCTATGTCCCTTCCCTGTTGAACTTAACTCTCCAATTCGGTAAAGACTTGCTGGTAGTGACCAGGGCACCATCATCGGAACTGCTTGTGGAATTGCCAGGGGTTTGTGCAGGTCATGGGTGGCATATTTTCTGCCACCAGAAATTTGTAGTAATTTTACAAATTCTCAGGAGGCTACATGCTTTGCATTTTTCTCCAAAGTTTTAATCAGCCATGGACTGTGGATATGAACTTCCATGTTGACTGAGAGAAGGTGTTTCTTCACCTGAACTGAAGTTTGTATTAACATGACTTTTCAATGATGTCTGTCTATAAATCTGCTTTCTTAAGGCAGTGTTGATATAAGATAGAATATGTGTAGATATAGGAAAGTTATTTGGAGTTATTGTCAAAATAATTTTAAAAAATATTTAGTAAAGTTATAAAAGAAATATATAAATGGAAGTTACCACATTGCTAGATTCAAAAAGAAAAACACAGTCACCTGGATAGATTCAAAGAAAGCATTTACTAAAATTCAACACCTCTTCTTGATAAGAAAAAAGAAACTCTGAGCAAACTAGGAGAACAATTGAGCTTCCTTAACCTAATAGTTTATATATTGAAACTAATAGCAAACATCGTTTTTTAATGGGAAAACACTAGGAGAATTCCATTTAAATTCAGGAACAAAACAAGAATAGCTCCCTTTATCACATCTGTTACAGAATATTTTAGAAGTCCTATCCAGTGCAGTAAATAAAGAAAAATTTATAAGTGTTTGAAAGGAAGAAATGGAATCGTCAATGATATAAAGAGTCTGTAAGCTATTAAAATGTTAAGAAAGCCTGGCAGTAAGTAATAGGATTGATATAAAAAACTTAATTATATTTATTTATTAAATAACAAGTATTGAGAAAAGTGCAAGTTTTTAAAAGATACCATTTTTAGTAATGGTATTCTAATGTACTTGGAATAAGTCTAACAAAAGGTATGTATGGGAAAAATTATAAAAATTTATTGATATTAAATAGCACCTGTATAAATAAAAAGCTATTCTATCATTCAGGGATAAGAAGACTCAAAATCATGAAAGTATTGCTTTCTCCCTAATTGATCTATAGATTCAGTGCAGTTCAAATAAAAACATCTCAATAGGTTATTTCACCCAAGTTTACAACTAAAATTGTCTAAGTCTAAAATTGATAAAGAAATTAATAACCAAGGAAAAAAAAAGAACCAAGAAAAATCAAGACACTTTTAAAGAGGGAAAAAAAGGGAGTAAGATTTCTTTCTTTTCCAGATATCAAGATTTATTGTGAATCTGTAGTAACCAATCATAAGTTTGTATTGATAGAAAAATAGAGAAATTAACCAATGAATAAAATAGGGAGCCCAGAGACAGGTCCATTTACATAAATAACAACAGTATATATCTAAAGAAATGGTGCCACATATCACAGATGAGGGAAAAGGAAGCCTATTGACTGAAACTCAGCTACATAGCAAACACAAAATTAGATTCTTACTTCCCAAGAAATACAAAACTCATGTCTAGGTATATTGAAGATTTAGCAAAATTTTAAGCTATTATATAAAAATGTAGATTTATCTCTGGGCTTTCTGTTTTGTTCCATTGATCTATATTTCTGTCTTTGTGCCTGTTCTATACTGTATCTTTATGACTGTAGCTTTGTGATATAGTTGGAAGTCAGGAAGTCAGAGAGAAATCAGTGCAGCTATGGACACCTTACCTTTGACAAAGGAGGCAAAAATATACAATGGAGAAAAGACAATCTCTTTAACAAGTGGTGCTGGGAAAACTGGTCAACCACCTATAAAAGAATGAAACTAGAATACTTTCTAACACCATACACAAAAATAAACTCAAAATAGATTAAAGATCAAAATGTAAGACCAGAAACTATAAAACTCTTAGAGGAAAACATAGGCAGAACACTCTCTGACATAAATGACAGCAAGATCCTCTATGACCCACCTCCCAGAGTAATGGAAATAAAGACAAAAATAAACACATGGGACCTAATTAAATTTATAAGGTTTTGCACAATGAAGGAAACTATAAGCAAGGATAAAAGGCAGCCTTTAGAATGGGAGAAAGTAACAGCAAACGAAACAGCTGACAAAGAATTACTCTCCAATATACAAGCAGCTCATACAGCTCAATACCAGAAAAATAAATGACCCAGTCAAAAAGTGGGCCGAAGAACTAAACAGATGTTTCTCCAAAGAAGACATACAGATGGCTAACAAACACATGAAAAGATGCTCAACATCACTCACTATTAGAGACATGCAAACCAAAACCACAATGAATTACCGTCTCACACCTGTCAGAAGGGCTGCCCTCAACAAGTCTACAAACAGTATATTCTGGAGAGCGTGTGGAGAAAAGGGAACCCTCTTACACTGTTGATAGGAGTACAAACTGGTACAGCCACTATGGAGAACAGTGTGGAGATTCTTTAAAACACTGGAAATAGAGCTGTCATATGACCAGCAATCCCACTGCTGGGCATACACACCGAGGAAACCAGAATTGAAAGAGACACGTGTTCCCTAATGTTCAGTGCAGCACTGTTTACAATTGCTAGGACATGGGAGCCACCTAGATGTCCATCGGCAGATGAATGGATAAGAAAGCTGTGGTACATATACACAATGGAATATTACTCAGCTATAAAAAAGAACACATTTGAGTCAGTTCTAATGAGGTGGATGAAACTGGAGCCCATTATACAGAGTGAAGTAACTCAGAAAGAGAAATACCAATACGGTGTATTAATGCATATATATGGAATTTAGAAAGATGGTAATGACGACCCTATATGCAAGACCGCAAAAGAGACACAGATGTAAAGAATAGACTTTTGGACTATGTGGGAGAAGGCAAGGGTGGGATGATTTGAGAGAATAGCATTGAAACATGTATGTTACCATATGTGAAATAGATGTCTAGTGTAAATTTGATGCATGAAGCAGGGCACTCAGATCCAGTGCTCTGGGACACCCCAGAGGGATGGGGTGGGAGGGGTTTTCAGGATGGGGACACATGTACACCTGTGGCTGACTCACATCAATGTATGGGAAAAACCACCACAATATTGTAAAGAGATTAGCCTCCAATTAAAATAAGAAATGTAGAGGAGTATCTTTCTGAATATCGGGGTAGGAAAGGATATCTTAAATAAAACCTAAATATTTTTTACTTAAGAGAAATACTTGATCAAGTTACCGTATTAAACTTGTGAACTTCCATTCATCAAAAGAAAACTTTAAAGACAGCCCACAAACTGGAAGATGATATTTGAAATATATGTAACTGACTAATAATAAGTATGTAAAATATGAAAATGGACACCTACAATTTCAGTAAGAAAAAGACATGAACAGACATTTTTACCAGAGAAGACATAAATGCCATTTAAGTAAAGAAGTTTACTTTCATCAGTATAAGAAGGAATATTAAAATTAAGACTGCAGTGAGAATTTTACCCTTAGTAAAGTTCTGTGGCAGTGGATGTGGGAATTGGAGTAATCACTTTGGAAATCAGAGTATTTTACATAGCTGAATAATATGATAACCTATGATCTAGCCATCCCCCTTCTACATATGACTTAAATACTTGCAGGGAATTCCCTGGCATGCCAGTAGTTAGGACTTGGGCTTTCACTGCTGTGGCCTGGAGTTTAATTGCTGGTCGAGGAACTAGGATCCTGCAAGCCACGTGGTGTGACCAAAATATTAAAAAAAAAGGAATATTTGCAAATGTCCAGCACCCAAAGGCATGCTCAGTCACGTTCCTTGAGCAATGTTTGCATAGGAAAACACTGGAAACCCACAAACCAACCGAGACCCAGAAGTCCGTCAACAAGAGAATAGATCAATAATTCCTGGAATTGTTATTTCACACAGTAAACACAGCAAGAATGAAGTTAGACTTGCCTGGCAACATGAATAAATGCTTTAAACATAATGTTGGAAAAAACCCCAAACCTTTGAAGACTAGTTTATGATTTTTATAGAGTTAAAAGCCATCAAAGCGCACAATGTATTTTAAACATACATGCATGTATAATAAAACTATATTTAAAACTAATGGGATGATAAACACAAAATCCAAAGTGGTTTCTCTGGTGGGAGAGAGGCAAGAAGCTAGGACAGAAGAGAAACACACATGTTGAGCCATGATTCACAGGGGTTCATTATACCTTACTACCAACATATAAGGTTATGAATAAGTATCAAATAATATCTTTAAAAATGATGAAAACAATGTATCTTTCATCTAACACTAGCAGTGTTTTATCTGTAAATAACTCATTTTATATCCATCTATAAAAACATTTTCAGAATTTAAAAATATTCTGTTAACAATATAGTGAAAAGATTTTGCCTATCTTAAATATTTAGCCATTTACATCCATAATTTATTCAGTAGATATTTATTAAACATCTAAAATAAATCAGCCACTGTTTTAGAAATAGGGGATCCAAAAGTGTACACATGTGCATATCTCTTTGCTATGAAGGGCTTCACATCATGATAAGTAGACTTTGATAGATGATATTTAAATATCATCACTAGAAATGATAGAAGAATTGCATTCTTTTATAGCTGTTAAAATTAAGCATTAAATATAAATCTGGATAATAAAGTGCTTCCTCCTAATTTATGAAAAGGTTCTTCACTTTTTTATGTAGCCTATGATTTTAAAAAACTTGTTAGAATTATGGAATTTACAATAATGAACTTTCTGATAATTATGGGAAGGCTGGCCAGAAAAATATTACCATTAATTTGAAAATGTGTAATTTTTTCTCCCTGAGCATTAGCTTTAAAATATTATAGCAAATAGTATTTAGTATTTTTTTCCATTGAGAACATGATTAAAATCTTGCAGAGTAAACTTTTAAACTCATGAGCATTCCCAAATGTCTTTTGCTTCTTTGCAAACAGTAATGCCCCATTTATAAAATGACTAGTCTTAATTTTAGTGTTTGGTTGTGCACCTCATTGATCATATGTCCCGACAGAGAGCAGCAACAAAGTCACTGAATCCAAAAGAAATCTGACAGATTGTGGAGAGAGAAGTTCTTTTATCTTGGTGGAATAATAAACTTTGCAGAATATGTACTTTAAAATATTGTTAAAGTTTTAGAATTTTTAATTCCCAAATTCTGATTTTCACTGTTGTCTCAAATGATATTTCTGATGAGAGTGATGTTATTTAAAGCTCATATATGATGCTTAAAATCCTGATACTGGTTCTGAGTGTGCAAGATATTTTTCTTCTACTTTTTTATCTCAGTGTCAACTGCGGCTGCGATTACTGCCAGAAGGACAGTGCTGGGATGCTAAGACAATCATTTGGTTGTTGGTTTATTTTTTTTTTTTTGAGGTACCGCAGGCCCGTCTGAGTGATTTCGTTATCTGTTATAAAGTTAATTATTCTTAGATTTTTGAAACCACATCCTGCTGTTGGCCTTTGCTTTGTTTGTTGTTTGCAGTGGCTATTTCTGAGTTGACTTTGATGTAAGTTCATTGACTCCACAAACATTTACTGATATTTTTTTGTGAAGGAATTGATTTGTGGTTTTGAGCATGTGCCATCAGGCTGTGATCCCTACTGCTGCCCTCCATCGTGAGATATGATATCCAAAGGGGTCCTGACAGTCCCTGACGGGTTGGTGTGCAGTTTGGTACTAAATGCAGACAACACAGAAATGCGCTTGTTTTAAAATGTACTTTCTGATATGATGCCTAAGTTCCATTCAAAAGTATAGAAATAGATTTTGTATGTTTTTTTTTTATTCAAGTTTAGAATGGCTCTGGTAAGTAATTCATGATAGTTAATCCATTTACTAATGATGCATCTGCATTGCTACTGGCACTTAACAGTCTTCTATAAAAGTGTTTTTCTGATTTTAACTTGTTGTTTTAGCATGTTTAATAGACCTGACTAATTATCTATTTCCCATAATATTGCTAAAAGCTCTGATTCTTGTTGTTCAGAGAAGGAATATTTTGTTAGTATATAGACAAATAATGAAAATGGAAAGAACGACAATTTGTTTTCATTTAGCCCTTAATGAATTTCGTTTTTCAAATAACATTTCACTTCTTTAATATGACTTTCTTTTTCTAATAGATAACTGCCTATAATAGGCGTACCTTTGAGACTGCAAGGCACAATTTGATAATTAATATAATGTCAGCAGAAGGTAGGTATGGAAAAATACATTATTGATTGTTTCCTTATTTGCAAGAAGTATTTCACTTATATTTTATAGGTATATAAAATCTAGTTCAGGATTTTAAAACTCCACATACCTACCATACATAATAAAATAGTAAAATGTTGAAAATAAAAGTAAGCAATATTTAATTCATGACAAAATATGATTTGTTTTGGTGCTGAAAACCTCAGGATAGGGAGCCAAATATAGAGGCCACTAATTTCTCCAGGCCTTGGTTATTAAATCATCTGTTCGGTGGGACTTATAACATTCCTCTTGTAAGTCTGAGGTAAGGAAGCGATAATTTAAGGCTCAAAATGTGCTTGACATAGGGCTGGTCATAGAATTCATCACTGGTATGATTTTACTTTAAAACCTATCATAGCTCGTAGTCTAGTTGTATGTGATGATAAAGAGATGTCGATGGACAGAAATAAACCATCATTTGGGTCACAGTCTCCTTTCTAAATAGCTAATCGTTTATCTGGAGTAATTGCTAGAGTCCATCAGCAATTTAGAATTGAAAGTGAAAGTGAACTCGCTCAGTCGTGTCGGACTTTTGGGATCCCATAGACTGCAGCCTCCCAGGCTCCTCCGTCCATAGGATTTTCCAGGCAAGAGTACTGGAGTGGGTTGTCATTTTCTACTCCAGGGGAATCTTCCCAACTCAGGGATTGAACCCGGATCTCCTGCATTGCAGGCAGACGCTATACCCTCTAAGCCACCAGGGATTTACACGTGTTCAAATTGGTAAGTGATACCTTGGGATTTAGAAGGTTAGGGACACAAGAGTTACTCCAACACTTAGCATATTCTGACGCCATTTTGGCATTCAGTTGGGAAAGACATACCCCTAAAAATTTTGTGGTTAAAATTTATAAATCATGGGATACTATACCAGATATCATTTATGAGGGTGATGGGAGAAGAACTGATACAATATTCCCTCCCACCTCAGCACAGAAAAACAATTGTGTATCCTGGATAGGAAAATTCTTACTTCTATTTACTAGTACAACACATTTTATCAGGTCCTACTAATTTGGAATTCATAGTAATTCAGTAAAGGCTGTGTTTAAAGTTATCTTTACACTCTATGAAAGAAAGTAATTTCAATAGAAATGAAAATGTAATACAATACATAATTGAGGAGAATGCGTCATGATTTTGAACCCCTTGAGTTTTTCCTGTTGGCGTTTTAGCTGTATTAATTGCAGACAACAAATATGCTAGTTTAAAATTTAAAAAGACCTTTCCTAGTGGCTCAGTAAAGAATCTGCCTGCAATGCAATAGACCTGGGTTTGATCCCGGGGTTGGGGAGATCCCCTGGAGAAGGAAATGGCAATCCATTCCAGTACTCTTGCCTGGAGAATTCCATGGACAGAGGAGCCGGGTAGGTTAGAGTCCATGGGACTGCCAAGAGTTGGACACGACCCTGCGACTTTCATTCTTCCTTTCATATATGAGAAGAAAGTCCAAGTGCCCATCCCTTTGGCCAGGACAGAAGATCCTCTGTCCCTGTTTCCACTTTCCAAGGGCTTTTGTAAGGTACTCGTATTTGGATTAAGGAGATTTTTACTCTTCTAATTGTAATGGGGTACTTGCATCCAGTCCAAGCAGTCCTTGTAAAACTGGAATATCCTTAATGAGCAGAATGATTGTGATGTTCCCTTTCCTTGGGAATCCATCAGTTTAGTTATATACTTATATTACAGTGGACTTGGACCACTAACCACACTAGTGTGTTCTCCGAGGGACTCAGAAATTTTTTGCAAGGTATGGGAATCCCTACAAGCAAAGAGTTGGACACGACTTAGCGACCAAACAACAACAACAACAAATTGAAAAATAACCTGGCCTGTGGTTTGAACTGCTTTCTTTCAAATCTGGTCTTGGTCCAGTCAACACAGAATATATCCTAACAGGTGATGCTGATGTGTGGGAACCATATTCAAGCAGATGCTAATGGAAGACTGCTAGTCAACTATAGGGTTGAAAGTTGGCCTGAGGGGTATTTATCTAAGTCAGGGTTGGGAGAGGACGAATATCTGGGTTTAGAAAGCCTCCTTTTATAGATGATTAGATTGCATTAGATAGCAAGAGTGAGGGGAGGAGAAGGAGGGGGGACAGAGGGTGAGATGGTTGGATAGCTTCACAGGCTCACTGGACATGAATTTGAGCAAACTCCAGGAGATCGAGGAGCACTGTGCCTGCCACTCGTGGGGTCACAAAGAGTCGGACACAACTGAGGAAGTGAACGACAGCAGTGGCCAAAACTCGGAAAACCAGGGCACCAACAGGCAGGCATTTTCCTTCTCTTCTTGATGGAATGCATGTGGTCACTAGGGTGTGCGTCTGCGGGCATGACCTGTACGTGGCTGTTGCTCCCAGATCAGGTGAGGAAAAGCAGTAACAGGAGTTGAGCATCAGGATAACCATGCTCAGTTCTGTCTCCTGCTCTGGGAGATCCAATGGGAAATGAGTCATGTAGAATCACACAGCGTGAAGCTCAAGGAGAGGACGTAGAGTGATTCTCTAAATCAGGTTTTAGTGCCAGCACTCTGTTGGCCTACTGTTCCCTTGGCCTCTGGGATGTCCAAATATAGCAGGCACGGGATTTCCCCAAAGTTAGAAAGCTCCGGTGACTCATCTCTGGGAGACCTGGCAAGAGCGCTTGGCTGGGTAGATGGCAGGCAACTTACACTGCCTGGAGCCGCGGAGGGTGTGGTGGCCGCCAGCCTCTTTAGGAGCCATGGAAGGTCACAGGCATTAGGGAAAGCCAGGGAGCAGCTCTCCAAGGAGGAGCCTTCATGATAAACAGGAAAAAGTTTTGCATGCTTTTTTTTGACAAGTGGATATAAAAACACTGAAGTGAATAGATGATAGAATTCTAGCCTACTCAACAAACTATACTTGGTATTATTTATAAATATTATTTATTGCCAAGAAACTGTTCTTCCTGACATTTTTCTGCATGACTGTTTCTCAGTATGGGGTGGGGGGGATGTAACATGATTAAGCTACTGTTTATCTATATAAAACAGGAAACATATCTGTATAAAACAGGAAACTTATCTACATTAAAGAGAATAAACAGCATATTTTAGAAGATTACAGATGGGCTATACATCAAACAAATCTAACAAAATCATAAGCAGAATAAATTACAGTGTAGGAGAAGAGTGAAGAGCCTTCTGTGATTAGGGTTTTGAAAAACTTAATCTTTAGAGACACTACATTCCAGAAAACTCTCCTGAAAACTCTAGAGCCAGAATATCTCCTGACTTCAGCTCTGGCATCAAATGTCCTTTAATATTAAAGAGGTTTCATAATAAATGAGGTCATCAAGGTTTCAGTTATTTATTGTATAATTTTAATTTTTTGTTTATTAAATAAGAATGGACAGATAGTACATGAGTTATAATAAGTCAGAAGGGAAAAGACCCTGATTCTGGGAAAGATTGAGGGCAGGAGGAGAAGGGGACGACAGAGGATGAAATGGTTGGATGGTATCACTGACTCAACGGACATGAGTTTGAGCAAGCTCTGGGAGTTGGTGATGGACAGGCAAGCCTGGCGTGCTGCAGTCCATGGGGTCACAGAGTTGGACATAACTGAGCGACTGAACAACAACTATACATCATATAACTATTATTGGGGACTTTAAATCTGTGGATAGTCCAGAAATTTTCACGGCAGAATCCAAATAAGTAACCTGTGCATATTATTATAATAATTGCTAAAGTTTAATATTTTCTAAGTTCACACTGTATATTGGGAGCTCTAGTGAGCACTTTATATACACAGTCTCTTTTAGCTTAGGTAAAAATCATGTGAGGTGAGTTCATATGATCTAAAAATTATTTCCTCTTCTGAAAGTATGGAGAAAAATACAAGTGCCTAGTCACTTTCTGATTGCGAGTATTAAATATGGTAATTTACCTGTTTCCCTTAGCTTGATCTACCTCAGAGTATTAAAAGAAAGTAGCTTTTATTATTACAGAAATATTACTGAAGAAAGCTATTCTTTGTCTTAATAGAACAGCCAGAATATAGGAAATGGCAGTTTGTAATTCAAGACTAACATTTGAGAAGCTGAAATCAATTATATTTATTTCAAGTTTCTTATATTGAGAGTCTGAATTGGACATTGGGTTGGCTTAAAATATTCTTTTTGGCATCTTTAGAGGGAAATTATTGATGAGACATTGAGGAGGAAAAAAGCTAAGTAAATCTCTAACAATGTGAGATACGGAATTTCATGAGAAATTTTAAATATGATTTCTCTAGAATATCTAATTATGGAGTGATCCAAAGAAAGAAATAGTTATGATTTCAAAGTACTTAATGAAAATGCAGTCAATATTTATTTTCATTAAATTTAATGTTTAGCATGCTCTAAAAAGATCAGATTAGCTGCAAATTAAAAATAGGGTTTTCCATATCGTATATAAGCAACCTACAAACAAGTCCAGGTATTTTGTCCTATCTTCTCTGTTCAAAAAAAATGATATTGTTCTGTGTCTCAGCTTCCTCCTCTGTTCAAATAGAAATAGCACTGCCTAGGATTGTAGTGATTAAATTAAACAATGTGAAAAAGATCTTTCAACTTAAAAACACTACAAACACGAAGTATTTTTCTCAGTTCTGGAAATGCTTCTACCTGGGTACGTTGGCCAGGTGAGAAGGCTGGCAGTCACTGGCAAGTTAAAGACAGATATGAGATTTGGCATTTTTTCCTTTTCTTTCTTTGTTTCTCTTTCCTATAATTGTGAACTACCCTGCTGTCCCTTGGATTTGATTACATCGTAGATAAAATTCTGGGTCAAATGTATGTGGTGTTTTTAAAGATAGCCTCTGTTACACGGAAAGCCTTTGAAGTCAGGAATAATATTGTTCCCCAAGCCAGGACTGTGACACGTCAACAAATCTCATCGTTGTTTTGTTTCCCTTTCAAAAGACTCCCTCATTAAAGGTGTGCATACCCTTTTCCCACCAAAATTAGACTTCCCGTTACCCTATCAAGCAGAATTCTTCATTAAAAATATGAACGTAGAAGAAATGCTGGCCAGCGAGGTTCTTGGAGACTTCCTGGGGGCTGTGAAAAACGTGTGGCAGCCCGAGCGCCTGAACGCCATAAACATCACGTCGGCCCTTGACCGGGGCGGCCGGGTCCCCCTGCCCATCAACGACATGAAGGAGGGGTAAGCGGACTTCATCTCATCTCTCTAAGTGTGGATTTTTAAATGTGGCGATATTATCAAACTTAGTGCAGATGGAAGAGGGCCTGTGGCATTTTTCTTTTTAATAAGCGATAGATATTGCAGAGATGTGAAAAAAAAATAGCAATTTTCTGTATTGACAAAGAGGTTACGTTAATGGTCCTTTATATCTGATGTTCCAGGTCCTTTGAAAGCTAATTGTAGATCAGGACTTGCATCATAAATTACAGTGCTAAGGCTTTTTTGTACCTTCTGTAGAGAAGCTGATTATTTAGGGCCCCGAGTTTCAAAGGAAATTGATGCCCCAGTTATCAGCTGCAGGACATACAGATTGCTGTAACTTTATTCTAGGAAACTATTTCTTCGCCTTTAACATTCTTTCCACCATGTGGCGGTGATTGATGGCTGGGGTGGATGTGAAGCCCATTCCTAAAGCCTGGCCTTGTCACTCACAAGCTGGGTAACACTGGGCAAAGTGCTGCACCCCTCTGGGCTTCAGCTTCCTCGTCTGCTCCAATGGAAGCGACCTCGGGGTTGTTGTGAGGATTAAAGAGACAATGCATTTGAAAGGGACTTGTTGATTCTCAAGTCTTACAGGTATAGAATGTGACTTACACCCTTGTAGGGGTTAGAAAACACTTATACCTGAGTACAATGACAGATTGAATGCCCACATCGATGGAATTTTGCTCTTTAATTTTGAATCTGCAAGTTGAGGCGGATCTGCTTTTTTTAAAAAACTAAATCCTATAAAAGTACGAGATACAGGATAAATCACATTGTGCGTAACATATCCTTTTCTAACTCCTCCTTTATCCATATTCTTGGTAACATTTATACAGAGGACATCTGGAATTAACCACAATGTCTAGATTAATAAGAATCAAATTTAAGGGCAACTTCAAAGGAGAACTTTGTTGAAAATAAGGGAAGAAATCTCCAATAGACATAGATAAGGTAGGGCGATTAGTCAGAAAGGGGATGGAAGCATAAGCAATGACCTGTGAAGTCCAACTTACAAATTTCAGAATTAAGTTGTATCTCGTATGGTACAATAATGGGTTTTTGAAGTCAGTCAAGCATACCTGCAAGTGTTCGGAGAAAAATAGTGGCTTTATTTCTTGCCCGTCTGCTGGTTGGCTGTCTCTGTGCAAACAGAATTCTGGGCTTAACATTTTACTTCAGAGGTCCAACATGGATCTTTTTCCCAGTGAGTAATTAAGGTAGAACCATGGGAGGGGATGAACAGGAGTATCTCCCCTGAAGACGTTCTCCAGGTGTGGAGTCTGTTGAAGAGATGTTGATTGATGTGGCTCTGTCGGGTCTTCGCTGTGCCGTGTAGAATCTGTGGTTGCCATACTCAGGCTAGTTGTGGCGCCTGAGCTCAGAAGTTGGAGTGCGGACTTAGTTTCTCCATGGCATATGACATCCTAGTTCTCCCACCAGGGATCGAACCCACGTCCCCTGCATTGCAAGGTGAATTCTTAACCAGTGGACTGCCAGGGAAGTCCCTGGAGTCTTCTCAACAGTTCCTTAAAGTAATGTGTTCCACAGTGATTGTTAAAGCGATGACCAAAAGACGTTGGAGGAAGCAACAGGGAAATCAGTCATTGGTAGAGTTTGCCATAGCTGTGCTTTCTTCTGGATTCACCCCTTCCCTTATCAGTAGTGTAGGCGCCACCCACAGAGGCCCTGTTAGCCACCACTAGACTAAATTAAGGGCCTTCCTGGTGGCTCAGATGGTGAAGAATCTGCCTGCAATGCGGGAGACCTGGGTTCACTCCCTGGGTCTGGAAGATCCCCTGGAGGAAGGCATGGCAACCCACTCCAGCATTCTTGCCTGGAGAATCTCTTTGGACAGGAGAGCCTGGTGGGCTCCAGTCCATGGGGTTGCAAGGAGTTGGACATGACTGGGTGACTAAGCATAGCACAGAGACTAAATTGAGCTAACACCTCTCTAAACCAAACTTGGACTTAAAACAGTACGGTTCAAATGCGTCTAGCTTGAGACTTGCCAGTAGAGATTTATTAAAAATATACCTAGGTTCCTGGCCTCTGATCCCCCCCTAGAGATTCTGGATCTTTTGAGTCCAGGGCTGGGCCTGAGCATGTGAGTCTAAATTAAGAACAGAATTTTTTGTCCTACAAGTACTTGTTGGAGAATCCAGTCATTAGCTGACTGACCCCTAGCACCTGCTAGCAGGAGGCATGTGTTGTCAGCCCCATGGCATTTATTTGGACCCTGTTGTCTCAGATCCCTTCCCAACTAGAAATGCTTTCCATGAGTTTTAATTTAATGTTAAGCTGTAACCTTTACAAAGTATTCATATGGTAAGTCATTTAAAATAGAATTTCTATAAATTGTACCCAATGCCAACTTTATTACTCTAGTGTACCTATATGAGCACCAATGCAGTAAGATCCTACTTGAGTGTAATTGCATAAGAAAAATTTGTCCTTGGAAATAATTTTGCATATTTTCTTTGGTTGTTATGTAATATCAAGGTAACAAAAATAGTTGTTTTTTTTTTTTACCCTATTTGCCTTAAATTTAGAATAAATTCAGTGCTTACCTCACCTCTTGTGCCTTCCTTCCTTTTTAATGGTGAATATCATGATTCTTAATTCACTTGTTGAACTTTTGGGGGGCCTTCCCTGGTGGCTCAGCAGTAAAGAATTCACCTGCAATGCAGGAGATGTGGGTTCGATCCCTGGTCAGGAAGATCCCCTGGAGAAGGAAATGGCAACCCACTCCAGTATTCTTGCCTGAGAAATCCCATGGACAGAGGTGCCTGGTAGGCTGCAGTCCATAGGGTCATAAAAGAATTGGATGTGACTTAGCAACAGCATCATGATTCCTAATCCACTTAGTAAACTTTTTGCCTCTGTACTTTCTTTTGAAAGTTACATGGCCTATAAATGTCATTAAAAATGAAATACTGGAAAGATCAAGGGTATGGTCAGAGATGCAAAGGAATTGCATCACTTTATTTTCTAAAATTTTATTTAAAAATATACTTCAGAAGTATTAAACACCTACTAACTGTGTTCTGCTTTATACTTTGAGTGAGTCTCAGTCCGTGATTTTAAAAAATCTCCTTAAATTGTTTCCTATTATGATGCATGGCAGCCACAATTTACTAACTGAAAATGTTTCCACATTAGTCAAACTCACAGCAGATGGCCAAGAGGCGCTCTCAGTAGTAGACCCTCGGAGTAAGCCTCCAGCCCTTCCATAGCCCACAATGCCGTTACGTATCAGTCACCAGGAGTCCCTGCTACAGAGCCCAAGCTCCTCATCCTGCTTGATGTGCATTTTTTCCCCCTCATTTCTGCAGACCTCACTGACAGCTTTTAAACTTCTTCTAAATTTAACAGAAACCAGTGGAAAGATTTCCTTCAGAGTGAATAAGCTCCTGCAAAGGAAAGCTGAACCTCCTGAAAAGATCCCCTTTCACTTTCCAGCCCCACAACCCCAGGGCAACTGTGCTGTCTCTCTGGGTGTGGTCTCAGGGCTGCTTTTGCTCTTGACATTGAGCCAGAGACTAAGGACTCTGGATGCATTTAGCCTGGGATAAAGCTGGGGGAAAGAGGAGCAGGTTCATATTTCAGTCTGGGCATGGCGTAGCTGCCAACTCAGGGTGAGTGATGTGGTGTAAATGGTGGTTATGAAGGGAATGATGGGGTGTGAGGATTAAAGAATATACTCACTTTTCATAAGAGATTGTCAAACCTACCACTGTTTCTTCTGGTTACCAAAGCCTGTGGATCTAGCCTCAATCAGCAACAGAGAATCCTAGTTTATTCTCTAGACAGTGTCACGGAGTGCGCCCTCTAATTAATTGTCTGCTTTTTGCCCTGGAAAGGGCTCAGAGAGAAGTCACACTTGGAGAAGAAAATGTAAGTCAGAGGCTGCCAAAGACTCATCTGATGCAAGGCCATGGTCCTGGGCCAGTCTGTAGTACTCAGTCAGTCCTCTTCTTTGGTGGTTTGTGAGATAGTCTTTTATTCTTAAATAATGTGCCTCCTGTATCTTTGATGCAACTATTCTTTCTTTTATGGAATGATGATAAGAGATTGGAATTTTTGAGCTTTTAATAATAAAATTGGAAGCCAATATAAGCCCATTTTTATAAATATAAAAATATGTCAATTAAAAAAATCCATGCAACTCTGTATCTATATGGCTATTACTATATGTCTTTAGTTTCTGTTCTTCTAAGTTCTAGGCATAGATTGATTTTTTTTTCTTCCATTGTTTAGCATTTAGTAAATTTTTTTTATAGGGGAATAATGTATTACTCTCTAGGGTATAGTGATTTAAAGAGTACAGTTGAAACATATACATTACCATATGTAAAATAGGCAGCCAGTGGGAATTTGCTGTCTGATACAGGGAACTCAAAACCAGTGCTCTGTGACAAGCTAGAGGGATGGGATGGCTGATTCATGTTGATGTATGGCAGAAACCATCACTAGATTATAAAGTAATTATCCTCCAATTAAAAATACAATTAAATTAAAAAAATAAAGAGTATAGTCTATGCTCACATCTCTTAGGAACCAGAAAGTAATCAGATAACTAGAAAACAGTGTTGTATGTGTCGTAGTTAAGGTATTCATGGAGATGACTCCTCCCCCACTTCTGGTCCATGTCAGAGGGTTCATAGAGGTGATGAGGTTTAAAATATGAGTGCAAATTAGCCATCCTAAAGGAAACCAGTCCTGAATGTTCGTTGAAAGGACTGATGCTGAAGGTGAAACTCCAATACTTTGGCCACCCGATGTGGAGAACTGACTCGTTTGAAAAGACCCTGATCCTGGGAGAGTTTGAAGGCAGGAGGAGAAGGGGAAGACAGAGGATGAGACGGTTGGGTGGCATCACCGACTCAATGGACATGAGTTTGAGTAAGTTCCGGGAGTTTGTGATGGACAGGGAGGCCTGGCGTGCTGCAGTCCATGGGGTCGCCAAGAGTTGGACA